CGCCCGGATGCACGGCGCACCGACAACACATACACACATACCACTTGCAGCCGGCCGCCGGCGGTGAAATACCAAATCTTCTCCCGCATCCCCCGGCCCCCAGGCAGGAGCCCAAAAGGGGCCCTCGCGGCATCACCCCCCATTTCCGGACTATCGTCAGAATTCCCCTCCCCTCGCCTCCCCTCGCCTCTCCGCCGCCACCCCACCTCCCCCTCCCGGTCCCCCGCCCCCATCTTCCCCCGCCCCCCGGGCCTTCCCCACGGACCTCGAGGGCCCCTCTGAACCCCCTCTCCCTCCCTTTCCCCGCCCCCCCCACCTCCCCGCCCCCCTGTGTGGCTACGCCGTTCCTGTACAGCATCGCACGCGCGCGCGCGTCCGTCTTCCACTTCAGCTCCCTTTTCTTTCCGTCCCCGCCCTCCCCCTGATTCGTTCGTCCGAACGGTGAGTACCATCCATCCACCCCCTACCCCCTCCCGGTCCACCCTCAGGCCAGCTCTCCCTCCCTTTCCCCGCCGGAGGGGGCCCCCTCTCCCGGTGCCCCGGGCGCAGCCACCCAGACGGAGTCGAAAGCCACCACTGACATGCCCCGCCGCCCTCCCGGCAGCCGGGGGGCCGAGGAGGCGGGGCGACACCAACGGCACATAAGCAGGTTGCGGGCCCGAAGGGGGGGGGGGGAGGATCTCCGGCTGCGCCTGGGCGGCGGCCCCTTTTCGGCCGGCATTCCCCGCCGGTCGCCAAAACGGCCGCCAGCTCAGCCCTCCCTTTCGGAGCCAGCAGCAGATGGCGCGCGCGCCGGTGACGGCCGAGACGCGACGGGCTCCCGCCGGGAAGCCCGGCCGGGCGAGATCTCGCCGCCGGCGGCAGCGGCAGGACGCGCGCGCCGGGTGCCGCACGGGAGGGAGCCCGGCGCAAGCGGCTGGTTGCCGCGTCTGGCGCGGCCAGGCCCCATGCGCCGGCGCCTGGCCCGACGGCCGCGAGGAATGTGCCAGCGGGTCAGCGGAGAGGGGACGCCCGCCCGCCAACGGCCTGGCCTGGGCGGCAGCGCGTCGCGCTCCATGGCGCCCCCCGGCCCAGCCCGCGCCGTTCCCCGGCCGAGGACAGGCGCCGCGCCCGGGAGCGGACCCAGGGAAAAGGCGCCGCAAGATGGGAACGGATGGAGCCGGGGGATGGGCGGATGCGGGGGCGGGGGGGGGGGGGGCGGATGCGAAGGCACCAGGATACCGAAGCTCCCGCTCCTCTCCGACGGGTGGGATCAGCCCTGACCAACGGGCGCCGAGCTGTCGAGGAACGCACCCAAGAGCCACGGCGCCTGGCCACCACGAGCGCCGGGTTGGGTCCCGGCCGCTGGCGAGCTCACCATCCTGGGTGCCCTTGAAAGAGGCCCTCGTATGGGGCGAGAGGAGGCCGGGCGCCGGCTGCATGTGCACCCCCTCTGCAGGCCCCCTCGTGGGCCGGGCAGCTGTGTCCGCCTCTTTTTTCCTCGCCGGGGTGAGGAGGCGTGAGGCGGGCCGGGGAGAAGGCGCACCCGACCGGCGTCGCCCCGGGCCCAGACCCGCCAGGATGTCTCTGCTGCTGCTGCTGCTGCTGCTGCTGCTGCTGCTGTTGATGCTGATGTTGGCACGCGGTCTTGGGGGCGTGCACGGACCGGCAACACACTGGCCGAGCGCCGGAGCGAGGCCGCAGGGCGGCGACGAGCCGGAGCCGGGAGACGGGTAAATCGGATTGCCAGATGCCAATTTTGTGCGCCCCTCCGAATCACTCACTCCGGCGCATTCCCCCCCGCTGACGAAAAGCCCCATCCTCGACCCGAGGCCCGGGCGGAGCCCGGCCGGGGGAGGAATCCACGCTCATCCCAACACGCCGCCCGGAGCCCTCTGAAACGCTCATCTCGAGGTTATTTGCATGTTTCGAGTCCCCTGCCCCCCTTCTTTCGTTCCCTCGAGACGCCGCCCAGGGGGGGTGGCTCTGTCTCGCCGCCGCCCGCCGCCGCTCCCCCCCCCCCCTCTTGTCCCCGGCGGAGGGACACGCCGGCCAGTGTAGGCCAGACCCCCCCGGCTTGGCCTCGGCGTTCACCGGAGAGCCCCGGCGGCGCGTGGCAGCACGTACCGGGAGGTCCCCCCCTCAAAAAAGCCTGCACCAGTGTAGAGGCGTGCGGTGCCCCCGAGGTCCCCGATTGCCACCAGAGCCTCCGCGCCCAACGCCTGGAGCTGGGGCCCGGCTCACCAGTTGACGGAACTGGCGGGGGCGGACGGGGGGAATGTCCACCCCTGCAGGGGCCAGGGGGGAGAGGAACGCGCCCCTATTCAGACACAGGGCCGGGGGAGGAAAACTCGAACATCAGGCCGGGTCGCGGCGAGGACAGGGAGCCAGCCTCAGCACGTTGCCGTCGTCCGCTTGCGGATGCGCTGCCCTTGCCCCACGGCCTGCCTGTCCCTCCCCGCCCCCCTCCGACCGGGTCCCTCTCGCCTCGCCCCCCCCCCCCTCCCCCGCTGGCACGCATGAAGGCATCCCCAAGCCGGGGGCTGGCAGAGCGTGAAAGGACAGGAGCAGCGTTCTCTCCGAGCCGGGCCTCCCTGATGTACATAACATTAACCGCCCGAAGGTCGCCCCAGCTCCCCGCCCTGCCCCTCCGGTTGTCGTTCTCCCCTCTGCTGCGGGAGCCGCCTCACGCTGCCCGAGAGACAGGGCACACGCGTGAATGCAGCCTCCTGCTCTTTCCCCAGCAGGCCTCATTTTCGCGGATATTGCCTGACCACAGCCGTCGGCACGGCCCAATATACCGAAGCGAACATCTCCCCCCCCCCCCCCTCGAGCCGTGCGCCTCCGAATCTCCGGGGGAGGGGGGCTGGAGGCACCTGGGCCCAGGAGATACCGCACCCCCACATGGCCCCACAAAGTTCACCCCCCCCCCAGCCCCCCTGGCTCGGAAATAGTCTCTCCCGGGGAGGTCGGGCGCGGTCGGGTGCGGTCCCCCGCAGACAGGCCCGAGCCAACAAGCCGGCCCCACCGGGGCCATGTGTAGCCCTGTCAGATGGATGATTGCGCCGGCCCCGGGCACATGGGCGCAGGTGGGCGCCCCCCCCCCCCATCCGTCGCCGGGAGGATCGCCGCACCTGAAAAGAGGGCGAGGGGAACGGGCGATCTCTCACTCTCTCTCGTTTTCCGAGCCGGGGCCTGGTCATGCTCTGTCCCCCCCCCCCCCGCAGGCGGCCCGGAGTAGGGTCTGGGCGCCGGCGGGGCGCCTGGACTCCCCAGGACCCGGCGTGTCCCAGGCCGCGCCCGCTAGCTCATGAGGTGGCAGAAGCCTTTCTCGCCCCCCCCCCCCCCCCTCCTCCTCCCTTGATAGGGCCCTTGAGTTGAGCCCCTCAAATGCCGACCAGAAAGCCGCCTCCACTGGGGCCGGAGATAAGATCCGCCCCCCCCCCCCCCCGATGCTGATTCTCGCTGGGCCTGGAAATTCCACAACAGTTAATCGCGCCGGCCGCCCCCCGCCGCACAGGCCGCCAGACGCAGCAAACGCTGCCTCTCCACCCGTCCGTTCTCCCCTTGTCCCTAGCCCGGCCCGCGGGAGACCTCACGCTTGATGTCGCTTCCGCAAGCGAGCGTGAGCAAGAAAGAGCAAGAGAGACACCGCCGGCGGGGAGATGACTCGGCAAGATCCGCGGACGACCCCATCGTGTCCCCCCCAGGAATACACACTCAGCTCGCGGTAGCCACCCCCCGAAGGACGGGGGCGGGGCCGGAGGGCTTGGTGCCCCGGACAAGGGAGAGCGCAAGCTGCTGGAAAGGGTTACAGACACGAGCCGCGGAGCGAACGGGGGCAGTGAGAAAAGGGCCACCCCACTCCAAAGGCCCCGGCTGCCGCCCATCATCGCTACGCGCCACTGCTCCTGGCTGAGCGCCGGGCGCCCTCCCCCCCCCCCTCCTCTCCACAGTGGACCCATCCCCCACGGCTCCCCCAGGATCTGAGTTTACCACTTCGGAAACAATTAAATCCTACGGAGCCTTGTCGCGTGGCTCGTGATCATATATTTCAACCATGCCGCCGGCCTTGCTGCTGGTCCAGAACCTCGGTCTTTGGGAATGCGCTGCTAAGGCACAAATCGCCTCATGGCAAAATGTGAGAAATGTATTTTGTGCAGCCAAAAAACAAAAAGGAACCACCCCGGAACCGACTGGCGCATGGGGCCCCGCCACACGAAAAGCAAGTGGGTCTCGCATGTGTGTGCCCCAGCCGGACAGAGGCCGGAGATCTGTCTGCCGGGAAGAAGAGCCGCGGCAAGGCCGAGCGAAAACAGTTTTTTTCCTTCCATCCACATCTCTCTCCCCCCCGCCCCCCC